TGTAACAATCAAATTAATTAAAGAAATTAATTTGAAAAAATTCAAAACTTAATTTTTTTTTAAATAAAAGATAAAGTGAGTATAATGAAACACAGTCCTTTTTTTCTGTATTGCAGTGTTTTATTTATTTTTTGCCATTAACAGTCTGACCTTGCATCATTTTTAATGTGAATCTGGTTGTAGCGAATTACCAGGTTGCTTCATAGGGGTTATTTGACAGTGAGGCAAAAAGCTGCCTTGTTTCAGCCCATCCATAATCAGCAGCAGTGGACAATTATGACGCTAACACTGGCACTATGTTTAACTCTGCTGCCATCTAGTGGATAATATCTGAAAATGCATACAGCACACAGGTCAGAAGTTGAAACATACTCATTATGGGCATGAATGTCATGATAATTTTGGACTTTTAATGAATAATTGTAGAGGATCTTTGATTACTTAAAAAAAACAAGACAAGGTTCCACAAGTTTGAATTTATTTTTGGAATTTCTACGATCTACACACGGTCAAAGGCTTTAATCAGTCATGCTAAAGGCTCTGCAATGTAGTTCAACTTGACAAGACCAAGGCCTATTATATTCTCATTAGTGATCATGACTGACCACAACTGGTCAACACAACTCTTTGCAGCATAAAAAGTGTTTGTTTGACAGCATTCATTGGAGTGACCAATACTCCAATGAGCAATTGGGAAGTCAAAGGAACTCACTGAAGATCTAAGAATAAGAATTGTGGATTTACATAAGTTCAGAAGGTCTCTTGGAGCCGTTTTTAAACAACTGCCAATCATCAGTTCAAGCAGTTGTACACAGGTACAAGTTTTTCAGATGTGTCACCACTTAGCTGAGGTCTGGAAAAAGTGTCACCCTCAGATAAGAGGACTTTGGTTGGGATGTTTAGAAACAATACAGGAACCACCGAAGGTCAAACCTGCCATCCATCCATCCATTCGCTTCCACTTATCCTTTTCAGGGTCGCGGGGGGGCGCTGGAGCCTATCCCATAGGGCGAGAGGCGGGGTACAACCTGGACAGGTCGCCAGTCTGTCGCAGGGCCAACACACAGG